TAATCAATAACTGATCAATAACTGATTAATAACTGATTGTCTCCATGGAAACCATCCAGACTACTTTTACTGTACTACTTCTATAAAGCTACTGTCACATATCGATTGATCATCGATTGATCATCGATTGATCAACAGTAGAAACTCACCGGTCCTCCTCTGCGTCATCAAACTGTCCCGGTACGGGACCGACCGCCGACATGACGTCACTGACCTCCACAGACCAACGCTGAACCCCAGAACCGAGCAGAACCGAACTGATCCAAAACTGATCCAAAACTGATCCGGATCGATCCAGCAGCTGCTCGCGCTGCAGCGTGTTCTCTGCACTTCCGGGTCTGAACACGTGACTACGGCAAGAGAAAGGAGGCTTCCGGCGAACTGCAGCGGAGTGCCGGAAGTCCTTATATGGTTGATAAATACAGTTTATACGGAGCGGAAGTGGATACAACCACAGAAGAAGTAAACATTTAAAATCAAACCGGATGTGTTTCTTTTCCAGCCTTTAAAAATAAAGCCTTTACGTTGAAAAGCCTTGACCGGAAGTGTGTCTCAGAGCTCAGTGTTAAATAAAGTTTAAATACAGTTTAAATAAAGTTTAATAAAGGTTCTGAAGATGTCTGCGGGTCTGGATCGGACTCCTCGCTCTCTGCTGGTCTGGGACCGGTCCAGTTTCCTGCACGAGAAGAACCGGTTGAGTTCTCAGGTGGAACAACGTCACTTCAACTACAAGGTAGCTTAGCATGTTAGCATGTTAGCATGTTAGCATGTTAGCCTCAACAGCACCGCGTGAGGAGCTAGCAGCTAGCATGCTAACAGAATAAAACTAACTGGAGTTTCACAATAAAAGTCTGAAGATACTCCTTTATAGACACAGCAGCACAGAATGTAGTGCTACAGTGTCACAGTACAATCAATAATAACATCTAATATTAGGTAGAACAACCGTTTATTGCAGGTTCAAGTTCACAGCTTTGTAGCAGCATTAATACAGACAGGAAAGAATCAGACACACTTTATTTATTTTGGTTGTTTAACACATTGTAAGAGTAGAAGTAATCATAACATTAAATATGTGCATTATTTTACAATATATAGAGAATATAAGAGTGTAAGAATATGTACCTTATACTACAGTGTGTAAGAATATATAGAAAATAAGACTATAATAGAAACTATACAGGAGCAACTGAAGTGGACACAGTGCGGATTAATACATGTTGGAGTGAATGAAATAGTTATACAAGAGGTCAGTCTTAATATAAAATATAATGAATAAAACAAAACTATAATATAATACAGGTTGTAAGCTGTAATATTGTATTAATATAACAGCATAAAACCACAAGATATCCTAATATAAATATCATATTGTGAATCACTTCCGGCACCGTAGAGAGTGGCAGCTCCTGCACCCCCTCTTTATTTACGCCTCTTAATCTTTCCTTGCTTTTTCTTCCCTTCTTACTAGCACTGTATTTATTTTTGTCAATAGGATCGACAGTGTTGGTAGTTCAGTTGTTATTACTGGCATGAAAAGGTCAGTAGGTTCAGTAGATGGGACAAAAACCTCCTCAGGTTCCTCCTCAGGTACCCCCATTCACACCTTGGCTGGTGTTAATATTTTGTTCGTATTCTTGTTTTGTGAGTCTTATTGTACTCGTACACTCTGTACTCTTCATCTTATCTTTATAATATAGTATACCACATAAATATAGCATAAATAACAATATAATCCAAATGTTTATGACTATTTTCACTTCAACAGAGCTAAGATAATTGTTTCATTGATCAGGGTTAGTGCGTATTAATAAACAATAATAAACATTTCTGTAAATGAGTTAGTTTCAGTAGTTCCTGGACAGATTTATTGAAATAATAATAAAATAACTGACAGATTTCATTATTATTAAAACATTATTTCTGCTGGTGACTACAGGTGAGATAATGACAATGCAACCATTACTTATTGAGTTTCTCACCTGAGGAATGTGTTTCAGTTTAATAATGAACTGAGTTGTTTTACCTGTGCAGGTGTCTGTGCTGCTGCCCGATTGTAGCTCCGCCCCTGATCACCTGGACGCTGTATTAAACAGTTTCAGCAGTTTCTATCTGATCAGGAAGCTGCCGATATATGAACTGCTGGATAAACATTTCCTGGAGACCGCCGTGTACCAGGGTAACACCTGACAAACCTGATACACACACACACACACCTGTTA